AAACATACAATGACACTAGTTATGCTTAGATCACCAGTGGATATGAGATCCACTTCTGGGTATTCTACCTTTTTCTGAGGAACTCTTGTGACTTGGAGAAGTAAGAAACAAAATGTGGTAACCCAGTCTAGTGTAGAATCAAAGTTTAGACTCTGGGCCCAAGAGGAGTGTTAGCTTTTATAGTTGATGATGATTTTAGAAAACTTACAACTTCAATGGGATGGACCTATGAGACTCTACTATGACAATAAGTAAGCAATTAGTATTACTCACAATGTAGTACAATATGACAAAATTAAATACATTGAAGTAGGCAGATAGTTCACCAAAGAAAAGCTGGATAGTGGGTTAATTTGTACTTCACACAATCCAACCACTTCACAACTTGCAAATGTTTTGATTAAAGGATTAAGTAATCATGAATTCCAAACAACTATTACCAAACTGAGAATGGATAATATCTATTTACCAACTTGGGAGGAAGTGCTAAGAAGGAGGGCTTCATTAGAGTAAAAAGTACACCTAAGATCTTCATAATCTATGTAATTAATATTGTTTCCTTTTGTTATTGCTATTCATTTGTATATAGAGAGCCCTAATATTCAATCGAATATACAACAATTCATTCTTCCAAAATTCCAAATATCATCAACGCAATAAAAGAATGCTGGTAAAATATTCTTGTGACTTTGACAAACTAAATGGGTCAATTTTTACTAGATTTCCACAGTTAGTAAAGAGTTTATGAACTTTAGTAGCAAAAGAAGCCAATTCTGTTTAACTGTTAGTCTGGACTGTGATTTTTCTTATTTCTCCAAGTAAGAGAATTTTAAATTTAATCTATTAGTTTTGCACATAATAGGAGTAGTGTTACTATACTCTAACTACAGTGTACTCCTCTGTAAAAAAAGATATGCGATACATCAATATGGAAATTGGTAGTAGTAAAACAAACCTTAGTGAAACGATTAAGAAAGGACTTCGGAAGGCCCTTTCTTCCACCGCCTTGGGAAGAAGGATTTTGACATGCAAAAACTCTAAAAGATGGTGGACATTTAAATGTAAGACCAAGTTCTGGAATAAACACCTCAGCTCTATGATCTAGAATAGAATTTAAACCCTGAGCCAAAAAAGAAAAAAAACTCCGTTAGAACTTGCCATATCATTATATGGCAAGCAGACACATAAAAGACACCAATCGTAAGAATTGTTATTACAAAATAAGCGAAAAGCTTGTGACCATGCCTCCAAAACAGATTGTGGAGCAAGATTAAGCTCATCTAGCAAAACCCAACTGCCCTGCTTCAAAGCCTGTAGTGAAGGAAGAAAGTTATTGTATGTCTTTTGCCCATCTAATCAGGGATTTAGAGAAAAAATGTTTTAACCTGCAATAAAATCCCATCAGACCATGCAAACTTCATTCCTTCATTACTTTCAACAGGTAAGTCTGACCCCAGCAAGTCCATTATGTCAGTCTAGTAAGAAGCGCCATAAATTAGTATGAAAAAGCACGTGCTACTTAAGGGAGCAAGATAAGTATTTTATTTCTTCCACTGACCTGCTCAGATAGATTAATGCGTATGACCTTATGTCCAGAATATTTTCCCAGGGCAACAATCAAACTTGTTTTTCCAACACCTGGACTACCTTCCAGCAAAACTGGGAAAGAAAAAAAGAAATAATCACAAGAATCCAAATTTTCAAAACATAAAGAGCCTGGGGGAAGAAGGAAGACCAGAGAAAAAGCTAGGAAGAGGAACCACAAGCACCAAACAGACATACCAGGCTTTTGAAGTTGCATAGCACGCAATACTCTCAACGCATTTCTGCAAGTGGTTGGTGCCCAAAATTCAAAACCATCAACGTCACAATTCTCATCACCTGTCAGCATGAGAAATAAGTTGCCAATCACATATACCTGCATGATAAGCCTAGAAAATGCACATTTATAGGAACTTCCTAAGAGCAGTCACTACTTATGAATAAATGGAAGTTGAATAAAGAATAATAGGAAATTCATGTAAATATCCAAGTAATGTGCTAGACCAGAAAAATGAACTGAAAAAACACAGAACAGCAACCTAAAATTTAATGAAGAAGCAAAAACTAACCTTTCTCAATGTAAAATGGGTTGATACCAAACAATTTATCATGGACAATATCATCACTCCTCGATGCAGTTATTTGGTCACCCCAACCATAATTTTCCATGCTCGAAAGTTTTGCGTACAGTGTATTAGTATCATCCACCTATATTAGCGGAACAAGATATTTTATTCTTTAGGATGTTCATACAAGAAAATAAATAAATATTTCAACATGTCAATCAAGCATAAACACATAGACAGCCAATACACATTAAGAAGCAACTTGCAGAACCATATGATAAACACAAACATGGAACATAGGGACAAAAATCTACTTGAGTAACCTCAACTTGCAGAACAGTTTTAAACTTAACCAAAGGAATGACCAACTAAACTATGATTTCCAGAACCTGGAGACTTTATGCCACCACATAATCTTTGATTCAAGTTGAAAAGTGAATGGCAAGGAAGATCTGTACCTAAAGATGCAAACTTATTTTAAGGGCGATTATTTTTATGTAACATACTAGGCATCCAATGCTGAAGAACCTCTCCTCTTACAACCAGAACATAAGTGGCAAGTAGAGTCTGTTAGCCTTAATCCAAAGAAAAGGTAAGGTCGCATTTGATCCTACTATCACTACTAACCTAGTCAATCAATAGTTCTCATTCTGATATTAGTCTAGATATATATATATATAAGTAAGACATAATTTAAAAATAGTAGAATTTGTATTACAATCATCCCCACCCTGAATTCCTTGATGGTGGGAGTTCATTTTAAACTTTTCAAAGTGGAGGTTGGATTCTCATTCGCAAGAATTTAAAGTGAAGATGGTGGTAACTTAAACACAGCAAATATTTTGTTTTGATATTTATAAATGAAAAATAATTAGAGAACTACGACTAGGAAGTTAATGGAAGCACAAGATGAAAGATTTAGCACTCTAGAATTGTGTCCTGTGAAGAAACTTTAGTTGTGTTTGGAGCCATGATATATCACAAAAAAATCTTATATGAACTTCTGACACAGATCTTTGTGTAAGCATGTGTGAGCAGATACATACACACAGAAACACAAAGCAAGGGACCAAACACAAGCATAAATAATAAATGGTGCATTAGATTAACAGATAAATCACAAGATGGATGGGAAGCAGATGCCTTTAGTAGCTCTAAAAGGAAAGAAAAGCATTTCTCCCTTAAGTGTTCGCCATCATCTCTGGAAATGCCAGTCCCTGAAATTCAGCAAAGAAATATCGTGTTAAAAGGCGTCGCAAAACAAGCAAAAGAAAACAACATGAAAGATTTCCCAAGAAGAAATTAGTACAGGAATTGCCACGAAAAATAGAAAAGTAAATCAACATGAAGAAACTTGCAGACAAGAAAACTGAACAATACTGACTCCCAAATAGTAATCAACATCGGTTAAACGAACCTACCAATAGAAACACTGTGATTAACAATCATATCGATAGGATATCTTACACAAGTTGTGTCACGCAGTACACAACATCATAAGACACGAAAGAGTTAGTAATATCCAACTATAAAAAGTTTGTAGGAAGGAGAGAATGGTTTTTCCCCTGATAACTTAAGATAGAAGACTAATTACATTACAAGCAAAAACAAGTCCTTGCCAATTTAGTCTTGAAAGTATTGTAGACATTCCATTTGCGGTTGTCAGGATTCTCTCCCGACAGTATGCCAAATGCAATTTGCTTTAACATAAATGTCCAGAAAGAAAATGACTGACAAAACAAGAACCTAAGAATTTACAAAACATAATTTGAAGCTTATTATTCATTTTTTCCAATATAGTTTTCATACATCAACTGGAAAAACTATCATTGTCTGGCTATCATAGATTCTGTTATCTCTACTAATCTTCAAGGGAGCAGGAGCAAGAAAATCTATCATTGTTTGGCTGTCCCGCTAAGGCACCCAGGAGTTTTGTTGTTCTCATTGTTCATGGTCAGAGAGATTTGACTATTTTATTATTGTTAACTTGTCTCTGTTGCCTTCCTTTCCTTTTCCTTGTGGCTTTCTTTAGCAGGATCAAGACCACCCTCCTTGTACTCTCTTCTTTTCCAAATATCATTTCCCTTAAATATGAAGTTATTTTGATACATGAAAACGCTTCTTAGGTTTTTATTTTCTGAATTCATATGCATTTCATTCATAAGACCACATAAATTAGGTAACCATGGAGAGGATGATACAAAAAATGATGATGGAATTAGAAAATTTTAAAATATTACTTTCACTATTTTTCAAAAGACTATTTTGCTTGTGTTTGGTTATTCCAAATATGTAACTTTTATATGACTTCATGAATAAACATATGCATAAATATAGATATGAAGTTATAAATGAAACTAACAAATTCAGTATAAATTTCCTTTTTCATCCCCCAAAAACAGTTCTCTAGTGAAATTCGGCAAGAAACTAGACATTCTATATTTGAAAAGAAAAGTAAGAATCACTCAGAATAAGATAGAATGGACTAGTCACCTCACTGCAAAAAAATAAGACGGGATCATAATTCCCATTATCATACCAGCAACCTAACAGGTCAAGACTCTTTGAAACCACAGATGAAGAAACTTAGAAACCTAACGGTTCAAGACTCCAAACAATTCAACAAAGATGAAAAAGTGTAATATATGTATAGAACAACAAAAGAATGCAACCCATATACAAAATTATTTCCATCTCAACCAAAATATTGATTAAGTCACCTAAATCCTCACTAAAATATAGCGGGTGGCCTTTTATCAAAAAACTAAGGACCTCGAACCAACAATCTTTAATCTGTCAAAAGGGAATTCTACTCCTTTGAGAGCTCTCTTGCGTCACTCCTTACAAATTACCCAAAAAATAACCGAAGGAGAAACCCATAGAGAACGCCTATCACTTTTCATGGCTTTCCACGCCCAACATTCCTCCCCAACGCTGCCAACCATGACCCACCTCAGACCCATAAGGCTGAAAACAAAAGACCAGAAATGATAAGAATATAGACACCAAAGGGGAATGTGGTTGCACATCTCTGCATTTTCCACACACAAATAACAACCCTTTGCAAGGGTTTTACCCTTCCTAATGCAGCCTCCCATGCAAACAAAGTCATTGTAGGAGTCACTTTTACTTCCTAGATCAGTCTTGGTGAGAAATTTCTGCTAACTACCTCACTTCTAGTAAAGTGCAAATAGAATGACTTGATCGAGAAAAATACACTAGAACAAAGGCTCCATATTAGTTCAATCTACAGCATCTTTGAAAACCACCACCTAAGAGAAGCAAGTGAGAAAAATCATATTTTGATCAATTTCCCAGTAGTTCTTGGTCGACATCCACCCATAGTATTCAATCCAGTAAAGGAATCCTTAACTGGTATCTCCTTATCCTGAGCTAAGGCAAAAATTGCAGGGAAATGATGAGATAAGCTCCCCCCCTCTTCCAACCAATCATCCTTCCAGTAGCTCACTTTCACACCTCACCCTAATCTCCACTTAATGCACCTCAAGAAAGCATTTCTTCCATAACCAAACATCATTTGGCCCCTTCGAATTTGTTACAAATCAGCCATACTCATGCAGCACAAATATAGCCACCATCATCTTCTTACAAGGATCTCAGTCCCGTGCTCCCCTCTTAAATTGTATGTGGTTTAGGGGTGTCAAAAAGGGAGTCTTATAGAGTTTGCATGTGGCGAGAAGGTTGCCAAAGCCTCCCATTATGATTTTCCATTGACACCATCCTTTTTATGCCTCTGGATAAGAATGTTTTCTTAATAGAATCTCTTTTTTATAGATGTTGAGGGTTTTACATGTTAATCTGAAAAAGAAAAATACTCCATCTCACATTTCATGGAAAGTGAAAACTACTTAGGTCAAAAATTTTGTTTGAACTACTATGAGCAACTATATTCTCCAATTAGGAGACACCATTTTTTTATATGAAATATCCAATTAGGAGACATCATATAACTCCTCCTTACATCTATTTGAAATGTTACTGTCGTGCAAAGATCAATTCTAATAATGTTCTCCATTGTTCTAAGGCTTGCATTCTATGACCACCTTTTCTTTATTAGGTGTTTGAAGTTGAATGCATCCTACTTCAAAGGTTTTTCTCTCTTCTACCTTATTGGACATCAGGAAGACCAAAAGTACAAGGTGTTAAGAAGAGGGGCGATTTTTCTGGGCATATGTTTGATATGTCACCAAAGTTCATAGAGAGGGACCTTTTTTCATGGCATATGTTTAAATGTATTCCTCTCCATTGTTTTTGAGGCCTGGACTTTACTGATTGGATTATTTTCTTTGTTTATAGCAAGTGTGTGTGCCCTCCTACGCAGAGATTTTCATCTCTTCTATCTTATAGTGCATTAGGACCATTGTGGTGTCCTACTATCTATGCTTTGTTGTGCATGATTTATGGCCTTCTTGGAATTAACTAGGTCATTGTGGGGTCGGTCAAAGAGGAAATTTGGGCTTGGGATGGTTTATGTAAAAAGGGAGAATTTGTAAAGTTGATTCCATTAACCATTTTCTGGGTCATTTAGAAAGAGATGAACTATAGAGCTTTTGGGCGTAAAGAATTACAGAGTCAGATTGAAAAATAGATGATTTTACTATTTTGGATCTATTTTATTAGAGTATGATATTATTAGGAATGAGGATTTTGGGAATATCATTGACACATTAACTCAATTGTAAATTTTTTGCACATGGGTAGTACCCCCTTGATACTTTATTAATACATTTTCACACTTTTTATTTCAAAAATAGGATATTAGGACCAAAGGAGCATAAGGTGTCATGAAGTGGGGCTATTTTTGAAGGTTTTTGGTTCATATAGTTCAAACAAAATGCTAGAAACTTTAAGCATAACTTTCTGATCCATAACACGCTTTGGACAAGATGATTTTCTCTGCTTTGCTTTCAGCTAAAGCTCACAATGTTTTTACGAGTTGACCTCATATTTTGTCTTAAGACTTTTTTTTTTAAGTTTTCCATTTCGTGTTTCGTTGTGTCAGAGTGGAATATTTCTCTCTCACCTATTTGCGACATTGTCTCTCTCTTCAATAAATTTCATTTATGAAAGGAAAATAAGAGGAGGTTAATGAACCAAGTCAACAATTAGAACTGTAACTAGATTCACCACATAGCGAGTTTGTCCCCTTAATACTTATGTGATGCAATCCTTTTACAATTAAAAAGGGTAATTGATAGTTTACTATAAAATAATATTTAGAAGAAGAACCGATAGTAATAAAGAACTCTTCTAAAGAATAATTTTAAAATATCACCAAAAAATAATATGCATTTAAAAGAAAAGTTTCCATGATAATTTTCCATAAGTTGAATCACTAAATTAGAGACTTTCTTTTTCCAATTTTCGTAGAAAAATGAAGAAATAAAAGAGCACCAATTAATCATCTGCCTCTATTTCTGGAATTGTGTTTTATGTGTTATCATAAACAAGTCTCCTAGCAACCTTTTTCTTTTTCATTATGCATGGAGACTTCAGACTTGGTTGTTCTATTCTTATTATAAGCATTGGGCTCCCCTCCGCTCCTCCCACGCCCGATCCTTGACGGTCTTCTTTCTACTTTGTTGTTTGCCAGATGCCCCACCCCCTTGTAATATACTTTTATCCTCTTCCTTTTTGATATTATATCTTCTTTTATCAAAAGAAAGGAGACTCAAATGCTAAATTTAGACTACATTTATTTTACAAGGCTATGGGAGACCTTTAATAGAGAAAAGTCTATGTCTATCATGCAAAAAAATATGAAGCAGGGAGAGGGGTGGAGGGGGGGATGTGGAATCACTCCAAAAAAAAGGTTCTCGTTTGTGTAATATTAACACGGGTGTCGAGGTGCTTTTTTTCCAAATAAGGAGTATCTAAGATTAACATGTCCATCTGGAATGCCTTTCTCTCTCTCTCTCTCTCTCTCTCACACACACACACACACACACACACACACAATCTCGGTTTAAATGAGCTAAGAGATGGAGAATAGAACATCAAGGAAACTCTTAATTGTGACGCAACAAGAAATAAATTGGAGAAGCAACAAGTTTCCTTAAATATAGAGTTTTATCTTCAACTTAAATACTGGCCAATGAGAGGGTAAGGGCGATGCTCCAAAAGAAAAGAGAATATATTCATAGTTGAAGGAAGAGGCAAGGGATAGGAAGGAGTTCAAGTGGAAGAATCGGCTGAAAAGAAATCATTAACAAGTTTTTTGTGCAATCTTGAAGCAGAATTAGATGTTCATACTTGGATTCAGGACATCATACTTGAATTCCAACATCATATATGGACTCAAGACCCTACCTTTAAGAAAATGGTTCCACAGCAGCAGCAGAAGCAGGATGAAAAAAGAGGTTGGGGCAGCCACGAATTTATGAGAAAACTAAAGAACCTTAACGAGAGATTGGAGAGATGGAATAGGAAGGTGGTTGGTAATGTGAAACTCAGGAAACAGAAAATATTTGAGAAAATGAATGATTAGAAAGGCTCAGATTGGAGAACATGATTTTTTATATATAAAACGGATATCTGATAGGATTAGAGAATGAACTGGAAGAGTTGCTAATAATGGAAGAGATATGATAGAGATAAAAGGCGAAAATTGAATAGGCTAAAGAAGGGGATAGAATGCTTGAATATTTCATAGGATCAGGTCAACCTTCAGTCATTACCGAGGCTTTTAGAAATTTCTGTCTTGGGATGACTACCTTGTAAATGTTTTGTAAATGGATGGCACCCCCTTTGGTCCATATAGCAATTTTATATACTTTTTATTTCAAAAACTTTCATAGAATCGTGAATGGTTGGAGGAGAAAAAGTTCTATTGATGAGATTGAATCAGAAACATGAAAGATGGAGAAAAAAAGAGAGGTCATATATCAAGAGATCAAGAATTTTTATAAGAACTTATACAGAGAAGAAGTGGCACAACAACCTTTCTTAAAGGGAATAGATTGGCCTCCTATTTAGAGAGAAGAGGTTATATTATCGAAGAAATTATTCAGAGAGAAAGAGATTAGACAAGTTGCTCAGGAGTTAGGTAATGATAAATCTCTGGGGCCTGATGATTATACGATGGAGTTCTTTATTAATTTGTCAGAAAATCATTAAGAAGGATCTGATGAAGGCTCTCGAAGAATTTCACTTGAATGACTCCATGTGCAAAAGTATGAACCCCACTTGTTTTTACTTTACTCACAGAAAGGGATAAATATATGACAATCTCCAACTACCGTCTGATTAGTTTAGTAACTAATGCATATAACATCATCATAAAGTTGCCCTCTACGAAGCTAAATGGGTCTAGGACGAAACTATTTCATGAAATCAAAGTGCCTTCTTGATAAGTAGACAAATTATTGATGCTTCTTTGGTTGCAAACAAGACAATTAAATTTATTAGAAGACCTAGGCAAACGGGTTTGGTGCTCAAACTAGACTTTGAGAAAGCCTATGATTGGGTGAATCTTAGAAACAGTGATGGAGGCGAAGGGATTTGGGCAAAGATAGCGGAGATCGATTAGAGTTTGCTTGCTATATGTACCATTCACAATTGCTGTTAATTGGAAACCTCATTAATGGTTTTAGGCATCGAGGGTTTTAATGCAATGTGATCCACTCTCTCTTTTTTCCCCATGGCCGTGAATGTACTAAGTAGAACGCTAACGAGGGCCATGAAGAGAGATAGAGTGAGAGATCAAGTGATAGGCATAGACAAGATGGGTGTCCCATTTACAATTCGTGGATGACATGATATCCATCAGAAATGCATTCACCATCTTCTAAGTTTTTGAGCATATATCAAGACTAAAGATCAACTTGGCAAAAATGACTTACTAGGGTGAATGTGGAATTTCCATGCCTTTAAAACTTGCCCACAATATATGACACACCCATCTCACACTTCCCTTTGAACACAGAGGGGAATATAACCTGGAATTCTCACCTCAGCCATAACCCTTCCAAAGCTTTTGAAATGCTATACCTTTTGAACATCTTGGGATCTACTCGATTAACAACCTATCCTGACACTAAACTCTGGACCTTGGAACCTTCAAGCATCTACACATGTAAATTCTTCTTCAAACACCTCATTTTGAAATCAAACTATAGCCCACTTTTCATGCCCTAAGTGTTATGGAGATATCTTGTTACTTCAAAGATCAAGGTTTTCTCGTGGACTATCAGCCATCCAAAGCTTAACATGAATAATATGCTCCAAGTCCGCCGACCTCAATGAGCCTCATCTCCAACCATATGTTGCAAGGGGTGAGACACACTCACAAATGACCACATGCTGATATATCATGGAGCTTCCAGGAGAAGTTGGTAAAGGTTTTCGGTATCTATTAGGTGACTGATGGACATCTTAAGGGAGAGGGAGTGGTTCTCGAGGCTAAACCCTACTGGACAGTTGCCCTTTTTGCAGGCTTATGGTGCCTTGGCTTGCAAGGAACCATAATATTTTTAATAACCGGACTAATACCTCCCAAGAGCTATGGAAAATGGCTACTTTTTTTGCTACATTATGGGTTCAGGCACATGGCTACTATTCTATCGCAAGCATCATAAGCTCCACCAGAACTGCAGAGCTTTTATCTCTAGCAATTAGAGAATTTCTGGTTGCATTTTTTTTTTTTTTGCACTTTCATTAGCATTATGAGGATGCCTTTTCTGGTTGATTATATTATTCTTTCATCTTTCCACCACTAATAATACTTCTTTTATCTAAAAAAAATTCCTTCTTAGGAGAATTTTTTATCTTCTTTAGATTAAATTTCTTCTCTTCTCCATCCAATAATATCTCTTTCCAATTAAAAAACGTTATATATTTCACAAAGCAGACTCCAAGTGGTAGGCAATAAATGATACTGCATGGATGAATGATCTTTTCAACAAAGTATATCAAAGAACAACAATAGTGTAAAGTTATACTTAAAAAATTTGGAAA